CACAAGGGCTAGCAATGTACTTGTTCAAATGATATTGATTGAAAATTACAAGCATCTCATTTTTCCACTCATGAAAATACTCTTCATCAAGAATAGGCACTCTATGTCTAAGACTCCCAATAGTAGACTCATCCATCTTCCTCCAATGGTGATTAAACCAAAGCAATGGAGACCAATGCTCTGATACCACTTGTAGGACCTTGAGAAGAGGTGTCTAGAGGGGGGCTGATTAGACACTAAGTACCAAAGTTGCAGTTTTTAAGTTTCCTTAAGTTTAAGTGGAGTTTAGGCACAAGTTTAACATTCACAATACATATCAAGCAAGCATGCAAGAGTATATGAGCAGCGGAAAGTAAAGCATGCAACTTGCAAGAAAGTAAAGGGAAGGGTTTGGAGGATTCAAACGCAATTGGAGACACGGATGTTTTTGGCGTGGTTCCGATAGGTGGTGCTATCGTACATCCACGTTGATGGAGACTTCAACCCACGAAGGGTAACAGTTGCGCGAGTCCACGGAGGGCTCCACCCATGAAGGGTCCACGAAGAAGCAACCTTGTCTATCCCACCATGGCCGTCGCCCACGAAGGACTTGCCTCACTAGCGGTAGATCTTCACGAAGTAGGCGATCTCCTTGCCCTTACAAACTCCTTGGTTCAGCTCCACAATCTTGTCGGAGGCTCCCAAGTGACACCTAGCCAATCTAGGAGACACCACTCTCCAAGAAGTAACAAATGGTGTGTTGGTGATGAACTCCTTGCTCTTGTGCTTCAAATGATAGTCTCCCCGACACTCAACTCTCTCTCATAGGTTTTGGATCTGGTGGAAAGAAGATTTGAGTGGAAAGCAACTTGGGGAAGGCTAGAGATCAAGATTCATATGGTAGGAATGGAATATCTTGGCCTCAACACATGAGTAGGTAGTTCTCTCTCAGAAAATGTATGCTGGAAGTGTAGGTTCTGTCCGATGGCTCTCTCCACGAATGAAGAGGAGGTGGAGGGGTATATATAGCCTCCACACAAAATCTAACCGTTACACACAATCTACCAAACTCGGTGGGACTGAATCGTTAAACTCGGTCAGACCGATTTAGCAAATAATGTGACCATTAGGGTTTTCGGTGGGACCGAAATGCAACTCGGTGAGACCGATATGGTTAGGGTTAGGGCATAACGTAATCTCGGTAAGACCGATTACACAAACTCGGTGAGACCGATTTTGGTAACAAGCTTTCCAGAGAGTTGGTCAGGCAAACTCGGTGGGACCAATTACTCAAACTCGGTGGCGCTGATTTTGGTAATAAGTTATCCAGAGAGTTTGCATTGTAATCTCGGTAGTACCGATTGCTCAAACTCGGTGAGACCGATTTTGGTAATGGACATACATAGTAATCTCGGTGAGACCGAGGTCCCTATCGGTAAGACCGATTTGCTTAGGATTTGTGGCAGTGGCTATGACTTTTGGAATCGGTGGCGCCGGATAGGAAGAATCGGTGTGACCAATTTTGGCTTTAGGTTTAGGTCATTTGTGGAAGTGAGAAATTAGTTGAGGGTTTTGGAGCATATCACTAAGCACATGAAGCAAGAGGCTCATTAAGCAACACCTCATCCCTCCTTGATAGTATTGGCTTTTCCTATAGACTCAATGTGATCTTGGACCACTAAAATGTAAAATGAAGAGTCTTGAACTTGAAGCTTGAGCCAATCCTTTGTCCTTAGCATCCGCAAGGATTTCCCATATCCTTTAGTCCATGCCACTCCATTGTTGAACGTATCTGAAACATGCTAGATAAAAGTGTTAGTCCAACAAGAGATATGTTAACATTAATTACCAAAACCACCTAGGGAGCACTTGTGCTTTCATCGAGCTCTGCCGCAGTTGCATTGGAGCTTCACCGGAGCCGTCAGAGTTGCATTGGAGCTTCGCTGGACGCCGTCGGTGCTGCTTCGGAGCTCTGCCGGACGTCGCGGGTGCTGCGTTGGAGCTCTACCGGAGATGCATTGGAGCTTCGCCGGACGTCGTCGGTGCTGCGTTGGAGCTTCGCCGGACGCGCGGTGGTGCGCCATGAGAGCTGCGGTGGAGGTTCTGCCGAGGTGCAGCATCGTTACGTCAAAGCAGTCACAGGCCTTGCTGCTTCCGTGGCATCGTTGTGATCCAACGGCACCCGCGCACTGATCGATCGAATGGCTACCCAGCCGGATTCGCAGCAGTCGTCATATTATCTTTATCTTTACCTACTAATAAACCAGCGATTGCTTCTGGTCGTCCGTCGTGGTTGTTTTGCAAAACAGCCCCTCAGTTTACACGAAATCAACCCGCAGTCCCTGTTTTAGTGGTTACCAGAGAAAACGTTTCGTTTTTACAAAAAAAAACTCTCCATTTTGGTGTATTGAACCCGCGATCCTGGCTCTCAGAAAACATTGCAAAAAAGACCCGTGCATAACGAGCGACTGGGGGCGGCGGCTGCTCGATGCGGAACGACGCCGGCGTCTGGCGGCGGCGGCTGCTCGATGCGGCACGACGCCGGCGGCTGGAGCTTGTAGGGGCCGGATCCGTGTGCAGCAGAGGCTGGGGAGGCCGATTCGGAGGCAGGCGGCGAGGCAGGGGTCGCCGGTGACGATGAGGAAGGCCGAAGCGTGGTTTCCCTGGCAGATCCATGGCATCCGCGGTTCCTGGGCAGAAAGAAGAGTGGAGATGAGGGAGAGAAGAAGGAAGGAAGGAGGGGAGGTGTGGTGTGCTAGGCAGGAGCTCGCCGGAGCCGAGCGACGGAGGACGTGCGCTGCAGACGGAGGGATCCAGAGCCGGCCGGTCGGGCGACAGTACACCAACCAGGCCAGGGGTGGCATACGAATGAGGACTTCATCACCATCAGGTAATCCATTCATCTCCTCTCTTTTCCTAATTCCCCACGATCTGTTCATAAATCGCCATGTTCTTGAACTGCAGAAAATCACTCATTCCCCATTTACTTGAGTTGCAGAAACCATTGGTTAACCAAGTTTTCTGATACATTGCTGTCAAATTGCATGGGCCTATCAAATTTTGTAATATATAGATGATGTTATGCTGTCAAATTCCATCCATCTACATATTCATGTGCAAAGTAAAGAAATTAAGATGTTGCAGGTTGCAAACAAGCAAAACCATGACCTGTCATCTGCAGAATTAACTTACATATAAATAAGATTTCTCTTCCAACCATCTTTCAAAGATAAAATCGTACAGTGAATGGGTCAGTTTTAACTAATACAAGTACACACAACATTCAGCTTGACAATTGGTCATCTCCCTCCCATTTTTTCTTTTCTGTTTCCAGTTCAATCAAGTCAGGATATCACATGTCTACAACGCCATTTTTTCCTCACATTCATAGCAAGCTTGCAAGTTCCTTCTATTAACAACAGGACCTAGCACATACACAAGTTTGTTGGCCGTTGGAGTTGCTGCACTCGTGGTCGTCGGAGTCTACCACCACGCTCATGCTCCACATGCATGTGGTCTTCAAGTCAGTGCGACGCCCATGTGGCTGTCCTGTAGCACAGCCAAGTTGACCGACTGTGGGAGCCAGAACCTTGGTGTCGGGCTGACGGCCATACCGCCTGTGGTTATCTTGGTGTCGCTGACTGTCAGGACGCCTATTTCTGCTTCCTTCTGGATGAACAAGGGAGATGGACGTGTCAGTAGAATTTGATCTGAATTGATTGATCGGCTTGTTTTGATGGCTTTTTGCGACATGTTTGTTATGTTTTAGGATCTTTTTGAAACTGAAATTTGAAAAGAGCATGAGTTGTGATAGGATTTTATATATTCTTCGGTTGCCTACTGTAATCTTTTTGAAACCGAAATTTGAAAAGAGCATGAGTTTTGATAGGATTTTATATATTCTTCGGTTGCTTACTGTAACCTGTACCTTCTGGTCGATTGATATAGATAGAATCATACTGATTTCCTATAATTTCGCTGTCACAAAGATGTTCTATTTGTTTGGTTTGTTGTATTGTGATGACCATCAGAAATTACCTATATATGCTATTCATACTGTTAAATTTAGTTCTAGCGACCCCGAGGAAGTAATGTGTTGTACGCCTGACACATGATTGAGAATTAACTTGCTTGAAGATATGGTTCAGCTCAAACCTCTTTTCCAAATATCAATGGGCTGCTGTTTCTGGAAATTTTGATCAACACTCGGAAAAATGTATGATGTACCTTTTTTACTTTGGAGTATCAGTAAAACTCCAGAATTGGAGTATTAGCATGAAAACTTCAGAAAGTTTATGTGGTCCTGATACACACATCATGAAGTTGGTAACTGTTGTGGTATTTATATTCAGATTTGACAGGAATAAAAACTGAACCTATTAAATAGTTATGTTAAGCTAGATGGTTTACTCATATTCCATCGCTAGATGAACTAGCCGCAAGAAGCACGGTTAAAATTCAGCTCCATTTGATTTACATTCAGATCATCTTGCTGCAACACCACTACTTTTCTTGATAGCAAACAACCAGTTTCAGTCATCATATATTGCTTTTCTGATTTGTTTATTCTATTATACCATAGATATCATAAGAGATAGTTAATCGCTTAATGAGAGGAACCTATTAAATAGTTATGTTAAGCTAGATGGTTTACTCATATTCCATCGCTAGATGAACTAGCCGCAAGAAGCACGGTTAAAATTCAGCTCCATTTGATTTACATTCAGATCATCTTGCTGCAACACCACTACTTTTCTTGATAGCAAACAACCAGTTTCAGTCATCATATATTGCTTTTCTGATTTGTTTATTCTATTATACCATAGATATCATAAGAGATAGTTAATCGCTTAATGAGAGTGTTTTGTTCAGTCAATTGAGTGCCTGCTGGTCTGATTAGTTTATGTATGTGACAGTTCCTTTTAATAATTATAAGTTGCAATTCCCAGACAAGGCATATGTTCTATTGTTTCTCAGGTTTGTGCATTCCAAGCCTGCCTTAGGACACCCCTTGTGATAGTATGCCTAAGATAAAGATAGGCCATGTCGAATATACTGAAGGGTGGGTGCTTATTGAACCCACAATCTGTGAGCTGGATGCCAAAATTAGAGAAGGTATGCATTTTATTAAGCATGCTATCTATCAATGTGACCTTTTCAGATGTCGATTGATATTTCATACTACAGGATGAGTACTAATATGATCTGCACGCACATCTGAAAATGATACACATGACAGGAAGAGAAAGTGCAAAGCACTCTACCCAATTTCCCGCATTTCAAGAAGCCATTACATTTATGATCTTTTCCATAGAAGGAAGGATATGTCAAATGATCTGTATGAGTTTTGCCTGGACCAGGGTTATGCAGACTGTAATCTGATTGTAAAGTGGAAAAGGTCAGTTGCCTCAACTTTATATCATTTGAGCTAGGGACCAAGATGGATAAGGTTGATTTGGCTTGATCATGCCAAAGAAATTTACTTCCTTTTTGGAAAATGAAAGCATGTTTTGGAAGTTCAGGGTTAAGTTTCCAAAACTGAGCTTTATAGCAAGGCAAAGAGGATCAAGAGAAGCAGAGTAGGATAATAAAGGTTCACATATAGATGTAGTAATCTATCACTATCAGCTAGCTCAAGTATGTATGACTGTATGATAATACAGGTTCACATATATATGTAGCAATCTGTCACTATCACCTAGCTCTAATTGAAATTTTCTTGGAGCAGTTTCATTTGCAAATAGACTAGCTACATGGGCACACACATAGACACACACCCTAATTGAGATATCATATTACTTACATGATGTGGGTTTATTCAGGTTATTATGATAAATTATTTGACTGATCATTGTAAGCTTTCAAATCCAGTGGGTAGATGGCTAGGCTGCCTTTAGATCCAATGTACTCCAAGGCATTGATAGTGTCTACCGAATTCAAGTTCTTGGAAGGAATGTTGATTGATGTTAGTAGCTACAGTTGTCTGAATGAGACAACGTACAGGAGCAATAAGAAGGATCTCATGCTGTACTTATGGGCTATCGAGCAGAACCACATATAGCCGTGTCTCCTTTGCTGCATCAAGGTCAGTAACCTCCAGATTCATTGCTTCTTGGTCTTTATTTTGTTGGTGAATAAATTGTAGTGCACTGAATAACACAGAATGGATCAGAGTGACTTGAGATTTTTTTTAATGTCTAGGTGAAAAACAGAATTTTTTCTTATCACATAGCATTCTGTTTTGCTATTTCAAATGTGCTCTTTATCGAACAATCTTTTGGCCTTCGAAGTTGCGAACCATTGTTTGTCACAATTTTTTAGATCGGTTGGAGATTTTATTGACCCCCTCACGTAAACTTGGAATTGAGTGATTCTTTTTACTCTGGAAAGCTTAAGTCAATAAGCATCTTGAGAAAAAATATAAAAAAATGGTAAAAATATTCAGAGGATAAGTTGAAGAGAGAAGTTTCATTAATTGTACATGTTTTGGAGCTTATATTTTTTATCGAGAGCTAGGTTTGTTGGTCCTTTTGTGCAATTTTAAGCTCGTGCCGCTGGAACCATGTGTACATTTAATCAAGGCATTGGGGTCCGCAGATCTTGTTACGACACGAAAACATTTGATGATTATCATTGCAGACGCCCTCAGTCTCAGGAACACTCTCACTATGTCTTTGATTCTGTTAAAGACCCATGTAGGTATGCCCAACCTGCCATTTTTTTTTCCTGGCGACTTCATCAAAGTGCTACGGCAAAAGCATGCTTCCAAAAGCTATTCCGAGATGGTATCTATCCTCTCTTTTTTCTTTTCCATTAAAAAATATATTTATTAAGCTGAAACGGTCTGTTTTGAGTCTTATATTCAACTAGAATTGCAATTTTGGCAGATCATATATGTTGAAGCATGTGAAAGTGGCAGTATCTTTGAGGGATTAATGCCACAAGACCTTAATATTTATGTTACAACAGCAGCAAATGCGGAAGAAAGTAGCTAGGGAGCATACTGCCCTGGGATGGAAACACCAGCTCCTCCTGAATGTATGACCTGCTTGGGTGACGCATACAGGGTTTCTTGGATGGAAGACAGGTAAAAAGCATCAGGTGTAATATTTATGCTCTGTATGTTGTCTTGCTATTCTGAACCATGGGATCCTACTGTGCAGTGAAACTCACAATCTACACAAGGAAACCATCAAGCAGCAGTACGAGGTGGTTAAAGCAAGAACGGCACCCCCAAATGACTCCAATATCGGTTCTCATGTCATGGAGTATGGTAACAAGACATTCAAGGATGACAAGCTTTTCCTTTATCAAGGTTTCTATCCTGTGAAGTCAAGCATCACAAACAGGCCGCTGCTTTCGCCCAGCCTCAAGGGTGCAATCAATCAAAGAGATGTTGATATTCTTTTCATGTGGAAGAAGGTAAAATCCCAGTTATATATTTCTTGTGTAGCTCATCTTCTCTGTTACTACTAATTTTCATGTGTTTTGTTTTGCCAAATTTGTCTGCTAACAATGTATCTTCTCGCTTTCAGTATGAGCAGTTAAATGTTGGATCAGAGGAGAAGCAGAGGGCTCTCACCTCTCAGGGAGGTCAAAGAAACTGTGTTACACAGGAAGCATCTCGACAGCAGTATCGATTTCATCGGGAAGCTTGTCTTTGGATTTGAGGGACCTTCGGTGCTTGAGGCTACTAAAGGCCCTGGCCAGCCATTAGTAGACTATTGGGATTGTCTGAAGATGATGGTGAGTGTAACAATTCCTTGTTTACAATCCCATAAATATGCAACACCCTGCAGTACTCTTTATGTTTCCGGTTCAGGTTAAGTTTACTGTGTACTGATGCCAATCACTGCTGTCAGGTGCGAGATTTCGAGTCCCGGTGCGGATCACTCACTCAGTATGGCACGAAACACATGAGGGCGTTCACAAACATCTGCAACAATGGCGTCTCCGAGACCGAGAAGGAGGCCAGCATCAACGCTTGCGGACAGCTACAACATGGGGAAGTGGAGCCCGCCGGTTCTAGGGCACAGCGCCTGATCGGCTGCACTGCAGTAGTATGCATGGGAGCAGTACCAAATGCTCCAGAGGTTCGTAGCTAGACCTCATATATGGTGTGTGTGTACATATATGCATTGGTGTAAACATGCAAGAAACAAGCCGACGATGCGCCCCGTGTGGTGTTTGGGATGGAAATGCTCGTGATTTGTCTGTAGTCAGTTGAAAGGCAATGATTGTTGTGCATGCGTGCTATGCATATGATTCGTATTTGTGGATTTTGACATCAATAGTTTATCCAGAAGAAATATTGTAATCTCGTACAGCAGAGCCGACTAAGTTTTCTTAAAAAAATATTGTCGTACGTGAACGATCATACAGGCATATGCTTGACTAAATTGATATTTATAAAAAAAATGAATTAGATGCACTAATTAGAAAAATATGCATTTAAATTCAATCATCGCCTTTCGCCTCTACTTTGAGCTAGCTATTTTTTTAAATGACTTCAGCTACTAATTTTAAAGACCCCTAAAAAATCTACTAACTTTAAAGGGTTCGCTAACGGAGTCTCAGACACCTTTTCAAGCCGTTGGATACATGCACACTAAGATTATGTGCTAGGAAACTTTCCTTTTTTATTGTGATCTAGAACTGAAAGAGATGCGTGTGCGATTCTGGACTCTACAAAATGTGCGTGTTTTTTAAAAGAAAGAACCTACAATCAACACGAGAAGCTTGTGTTTGGGCCAAGTCCAAGAAGTGCAAAACGAAAAGAAACTTAATGTAATATTGCAAAGCAAACAACCAACATTTTCTAAAAAGAAAATCAACATAGCAAAAACATGCTTGCTTTTGAATATTAACAAATAACTATATATAAAAATCTCACATCAATGCACCACTACTCCTATCCGGTGATAGTGTGGTGCTGATTGAAGCAACATCGAAGGACATGAATGTGGGTTCATCAAGTTTTCTGAATTGCGAACACCAAAAATCATATCATCATTGAGGATGGTGTCAAACAAGAAAAGTGGCAACATGAATGAGACACTAAAAACATGCGATGATTTTCTCCTTCCGATGGGACGCACGACACATTAAATTGCTGCATACAAAAGTTAGATGGAACCTTCTTTTGAAAAACACAGTACAAACAGAGACTCACACACATACATACACTAACCCCTTGAGAGACTGACTGGATGGGTTTTGAGATTGATGAACGCACCACAAGTGTCTCGCTATCGGCGCGAAAATCGCCACCCAGAAAAAAAATATTTCGCCTTCATGAGACATGAAAGCGTCAAAGCTAGATTTTAATTCCTGTTGGTATTGGGTACCATCGCCCTCCAAACCATCCAATCCAACCAGAGGTTGGTTGTCATGGTTAAAGAGAAACTGACGAATCTATCGGCATGCACCTCCCTACCCCCGCCGTGCTATGATGATGTGTGTTTTGGTGGACACATCAATCTTCCCTCCTTTTGCAACGCACGTGCATATTTGAACTCTTCCAAATCAAACAAACAATTATCTCTAAAAAATCCACATAGTAAAAATCCGTTTGAATTTAAATCTTTCGAAAATTCTAACAAAACTTTTGAATTAGTTAATAAACTCTTGATTAGTATAGAACATTCTAACATTTGTATGACCCACTAAAAATAAATGCACCACTTTTCCACCCAGTGATAGTGCTAAGCTGAAAGAGGCGCCATCAAAGGACACCACTACAACTTCTTTAACAGCAAGTACAATAGGATGATGTAGGCGGGTTGTAAGGGTTTAAATATTATATTTTTTATGAATTGGAGGAGAGAGAAGAGGAGAGAGAAGAGAAGCGGGCACTGATTAACAGTCGCCTCTAGCACGCGCTCCTAGACACTTTGTGAGAGAGAAAGATGTGTCATGTATCACCAAAGTAGTACATATTTATATGTAACTATTGTACTTGCTGGCTATAAGGTAGGATATAGATGATGTGGCAAGATCATATAGCCAGCGGTCGGCTATACTATTAACCATGCTCTAACTCTATACTCCATGGTCCGGACACCAGGAATCATTTTTTTTACAGGCATTGGGCGTGTTTTTTTTAAGATAATGAGAGTTTCTAATTGTTCTTGGTTTAAAAATATATAAACATATTTTAAATATGTTCACACTTTTAGGAAATGCCTAAAAACAAAATAAATAAACATATATAAACATATATAATTGTTCACAAAATAAATAAATAAATTCAAAAAAATAATGTGTTCATAAAATGTTTGGCCTCAAAACATGTTCCAGTTCCAATTAAAAAAACTTAAAATTGTTTAATTTCTTAAAAAATAAACAAATATTTGTGTTTTTTTAAAAGCAAAACATATAACCGATCCACATACTATTTCACCACTACTCTTTCACTAGACAAAGCAAGTTAGGTTGGTTCTTCACGTCCACACTTCATGCTCCGAACAACCTTATTACCAAGATTTATAGAATTGGTTATAAGAAATGGCACAAGGTGGCACACGAAGTAGGTTTTGTAATTTTTTCGCCCGTTGCAACGCACGGGCATTTGTACTAGTATACTCTAAATACTCTTATATTTCTTTACAGAGGGCTACTATTTTTTTATTTTAATACCAGATCTAGAATCCCTTCCCGTGTTTAAAAAAGAAAGGTAAACTTCGATGGTAAGCCACCCCCTCCTCCGGTGCACTTTTCCCACAAAATAAACAACTCTCCTTATATCTCGTTATAAAAACTCTAATAACTAGCACTAATACCTTGACCAATATAAACGTCCAAGAGAAAACAACAATAGTAAACAACACTTCTCGACAGAACATTCGGACCCTCAAAAAAAAAAAAAGACAGATCATTCGCCACCGGACGGCCCCAAAGCCGAACTCCAACTCTTCCTTCCAGGAAACGGCTCCGTAGTCCGGACTTCCCAACACGCCACCGGCCCCACGCGTCACGGACCCGGCACCGCATCCCACCCCCCACCAGCCGCCTTCCCAG